AGCGTGGAAAATACTACTTGATCGAAGTGGTACAATCTAATACGACATTCGAACAAATACAAACTTAAAATAAATCCATTTTCTTTTAGTAATTAATTTATTTTAATGATGCAATGTGTTTTATTTTTAATTCACTATTTATTTCCTTTTAAATGCAAACATCAATTTTATTTATATTTGATTCTCATATTTATCAATGAGGGAATATTCTTTTATTGATAAGAAATAGTCGAGTTAGCTTTCCAGATGGAGGTTTGCTAATTTCGATATTTCTTTTCGAATTAAAGAATTTTCCCTAACATTAATTAATTCGAAGCAAATTAATTAAATTTCAATAAATGAATCACATTTTAACTTTATATTCAATTTATATTTTCCATCATGTACGACAACGTGTAAGCGACACAGTACCAGTTTTTGGGCATTGCGGTGTGCTAATCCTTCCCCACACATAACCGACTCCCGAATCCGTTTTAAATCGAATATTTGGTTACGCAGATCAATTTTTGTCTTATAAAAATGATTTTCCTTAAAATTGTTTCTAAAAGACGTTTTTAGGTTATTCGACCTACCTAACCCAAAGGTTAATGGCGACTCCTTTCAATCTAATTTCAATTAATCCAAAATCACTCAAGTTTTCCAAATAAAAGTCATAATCGTTTTTTAAAATAATATTTAATTATTTTACTTTTAAAAATGGTTATGACATACCGCATATGATCGTGAACCAAATAATCTCAAGTGTCTTAAGTATTTTATTGACCATCGCATATACTCGCTTGTCATATATATCGAGTGTCTGTAGTGTTTCCGCAATAAAAATCAAATTATCTAATTTGTAGATCATCATCACATCATCATAAATACACAAGTAACTACACAATGAGCAACGACCAACATCAGAATTATTACAAAGTTATTACAAAGTCTTGCGCTCAATTCGAAATTTACTTAACTTAAAGTATTTTATGCTCAAGAGTGTTTTAATCATTATCTTATTTCTTTTCATAAAAATATACATATATTTAATAGATCTAAGCATTATCATATAATTTTTTCATGTGACGATCGATTTTATTCGATTTGTAGCATTATAAAAATAAATAATTGTGTGTTAAGAGACTACAAGATTGTCTATGATTTTTAGAAACACATATCATCATTTAATTTTGTCACATAATTCTTTATCGATGGTGTTGTTGTTACCTTAACTATTGTCGAGGGAGTGGATTTTGTGAAAGTGTAGTGTCACTAATATTCTACAAGCTAAGTTGAGGGACTTATGTGAAGATTTACAAATAGCATGGGCCTATGTTTTCAAAATTTCACAAATTCAAATCAATAATGTCCAAATTACACCATTAGTAGAAGATTTAGAGGCTAATAATAACTTAGGTTCGAGTATTATTGAAGATGTAATAAAGATGTTGGATGATGAAAATACATTAAATTCATAGGGGAAGGTGAATTTCATAATCATTAAAAAACGTTGGAGTTAATGAAGAAAAATTAGAACGAAACAGGCGGCTGAAAACACGAAATAAAGGCAATCCCAGCCCTAAATCATGCCAAGTCTACCAAAATAGGACCACTTAACTTATTATTTAATTTTTGTTGATTCAGAAATAACATGAAATAGACATTCATACGGGTCCCAAAATTCCCAGGAAAGACTAAAATAGACTTGGGAATTAAGAAAATAGTAACGCGTGGAAGGTGTCGTGGGCAAGGACCGTCAAACTTCAGTTTAATGAAACGTCAAGGCAGCATTGTCATTGAAATTTCATTGTAAATACGTGCTATACTTTATTGCTTGAATCTAATACGCGGAGGAAATTCTTTTTTAACAATTTCTATCTAAAAGAGGAAAAAATAATTTTATTTCATAACCTAATATATAGAAAGAAAAAATGTCAACCGAAAGCTTTTAACCATATGGTTTAAAGATTGTTAACGATACGTGGAGAAAATTAAATCACCTTATCCCGACGATTATATATAAACTAAGATATAACATTTCATGTAATACAAATGATGATTATAGATTTTGGATAGGTGACAAATGAGAAATTAAAATAATAATAATGAATATCCAAATTACTTATGAACTATTAACATAAATGGTTGCCCTTATTATATGTTCAATGAATAGTTTTTCTAAAAAAAAGAAAATTATAGAAATATATGTCAACACGTATTAGTTCAATTGACTAAGTATTTATTAGGACCTTAATTTGATGAGAATTAAGTTAAACTTATCGCAAAAATAATAATTTTCTGAAAAGAAATGAAACTCTTCCAGGCAAAAAAAAAAAAGAAGAAAACCAGTAATAGTCGTTTGTGGTTGATAACATAATTAATTAGCAACTTTTAAAAACTTCTCTTTGTGATAAATTATAACACAATAAGATGTTCTCAATTAATTAGATATAATAATCGCTTGGAAAATTCAAAAACAACATCGCTTTTTTTAATGGGAAAAAATGAAAGAAAATCACTTTAGCCATAAAAGAAATGTTTTGTTTTTAATAAGGATTCTTCCTAGTATCCCACTCCTACAATGCATCAGCTTCGCACAATGATGCAATTGAATCATTCAATTCAATCTGAATGCCGACCGACTTGTCATATTATATACAATATTCGGTCAAATATTTAATCCAAATTCAATCTTTCGATAATTATTATATTTATTTTTATTATATATAAATACAAAAAATGAATAAAAACCTTACCAAGTTGTGTTTTTTCTTTGAGATCTTCATAGGGTTAGTTTTAACTGAAAAAGAATCATGCCACAAATAAGACTAAGGATCAAGCCTAAGACAATTGTTATAACCGTACAGTCATAAAAGTGTTACCTTAAAGTTATCTGTACGAAGATATCAATAAATTGCTTCATAAAAGCTCGTTGTAGTTTTTAGTGATTTGAATAAAAATGGGAGAGTAGGATTTCTCAACGCGCCAGATAGGGATCGAACCTATGACTTTCTGCTCCGGAAACAGACGCTCTATCCACTGAGCTACAGGCGCAACGACACTAAAATGCTATTGATTTTTTAATTGATTCATTTATTTTGTCAAATTATAAAAATAAGGATCAGTGTTGTAACAGTTTTAGATTTTTTAATTGATTTCTCAACGCGCCAGATAGGAATCGAGCCTATATCTCTTTAGATTTTTTTTTTATAATTTATTGAATTTTCAATTCATTAAAAGTAACAGTTTTAGTGATTTAATATTTTAGATGTATTTAATAATTTAAAAGTAAAATTATCAGTTTTTGCTTTCCTGATATACATGTAAATAAATTGTTTTATATCCTTAGCTTACATTCTTTTAAATATGTATTTATAAATAAAATATATCTTCAAGCGAGATTATTTCATCATAAGGTTTACGTTTTGTAGTTTTTTTTATTTGTGAAAGATATTCCAATTTTTTTTTAAAAAAATCTAATTATATGTGATAATTTTTGTTCAAATATACAAAACATATTCGATTTAATTCTATAATTTGCAAGATGCAAATATTATAGTAGCTTTGGGTGGAAAGAAGGAAGAAGCTTGGGAAAGTTGGACTATCGTTCAAATTGGGCAGAGGGTCAACCGATGTGAAAGGCTTTAGGGGTCCCACACTTGGTTGGCTTGACTGGTCTCTTGTAAGGATATTCAGAGCCAGCCACATTTGGCCAATTACTCCGAAATTCGACACAAGCATCGATTTAAATTAATTCTGCCCACTTCAACAGTTTAAAATGTTTTAATCTTTTTAGAGATAAAAGGATAATTTTATATAGTTAAATGATTTTATTCATTCTCAATATAAATGATTTTTGGCTTATTTATAAAATAAATAAATTAAAATTAAGACCAATCACATAACATCAATAGAATCTCTCATCTTTACGGAATATATATTCTTTTACAATTTTCATAATTTTTTAAAGAATAGAGATAATAATGAAAAACCCTAAATTAAGTTTAAAAATTAGGTTTTTATAAAGAAGAGGTGACCGTTGAAGGTTTTTGGGTCTCCAAAGTGGCGATCAACTCAATCAATCCAGTCCATATAAGTAGTTAACATGTCAGTTGTGTTTTTCTTTACGCATGTTAAGAACTGTTAACGCCGAGTGACCGGTTTGTAACAAATCGATAATGTTAGTGATCGATTTGTAACTTTTGAAACTATAGTAAGAAAACGAAAACTTACTCAAATAATCGTGACCAACTATGTAGTTTATCCATAAAAAAAGGGGAAAAGGAAAAAATTCCAATTTGATGCTAATGACTGCGAATGGTTGACGCAAAAGCCAAAATTGAAAATAAAATAAAATAAAATAAATAAACAAACAAATAAAAAGCCTTGCGGAAACAAAAGCAAAGGCCTTTAACAACGTCCAACAGAAAGCGCAGACTAGATTAAGTTTAGGCATACTGCAAACTTAATCTCTTTCTCATTCTTCTTGTTCTGTTTTAGTAGGAAAATCCTCAATCCTTAAGGAGTTGTTTTGTTTGTTTTTCTTTAGGGGCGAAGTGGAGGTTTTATTAATTTGATCACTTGGGGCAAGGTAATGTTATTCACGATTACTATTTGATTGCAATCACTATCAAGCTTGTTGATTTCCTTTCTGGGTTTTTGATTACTGCCCTGGGTTTTTCTTCTGTCTCTACGATGTGTGTCGTTTAAGGATATATGGGTAATTTTGGGGATTAAATTCTTGGTAACCCCTATTATCTACTTTTTGGTCTCCTATAAATTGTTATTGTTATCATTCTTAGGGAGAGTTGATATAGTTTTTTAACTGTAGAATTGGGTTTATTGATGATCATGCTCTAGAGCTGATTTGATTAGCGTTTACCTATCAATGACTGATCTTTTATTATTTTAGTTAGACTCATAATTTCTCCCCCGCAAATTCATGATACCGAATGGTTTTATGATTGGGTTTTCTGTAGGCTGTGCTTATACGATAAAGAGGGATTTGCTACTTTATAAGAGAGGCTGATAACATGGCTCATAGCGCTGCAGCATGTGCTGAGAGGGCAACCAGTGATATGCTGATCGGTCCAGATTGGGCTCTAAACATTGAGCTATGTGACATCATAAACATGGATCCAGGGTATATGGTTCTTTTTATTTTTATGTTTGGCAACCTTTTTGCTTTACTTCTCTAATTTCTCTTATTTGATGCATTCTAGTACCCATGATTATCATTTTGGAATTGTTATTTTGATTTACATGGAAGCACAAGTACTTCTACCTATGGGAATTGCGGTATGAAGTCTGCAATATGGGTACTTTAAGAATTTTCAGCTTGCAAGCCTTGCTTTGATTGTCAAAGAGTGCTCTAATCACTATTTAAATTGTTTTATAGGCCAAATTTGTGACCCTATCCACCTTTGACTAGTATAATATAACATTAGAAGAGATTGTGATGCACTTTTGTGTGACACTTAAGTGTAATTCAGTTGTTCCTCAAAAAGGAAAGAGGTTAAGTTTCGAAGGAGATTGCTTGGTTAACTTGATTTGATCTGCGATTTATGTAGATAAGAGTTGGGCTTTCCAAATTCGGTCAAAAAAGTAGCTTGGCTCTATCATCAATGTCGAGTTGTCACAACTTTATTTTTCCTAGAGAGTGTCAAAGGGAGAGATTGTGGAAGGGAAAGAATTTTGAATCTTCCATGTATGGTACACTATGAATCTTGTCGGAGAAGAGAGAAATTTTATGCTAGACAGATTTTCTGAATCTTGTATGTGCTGTGACATTGAAAAAGGAAGAGGAGTTTCAAGACACATGCATACTTGTATTCTACTCCTAGATTCCTTTTAGGTTTTTGAAATGTCTATTAGTGAAGCATTAAGATAGGTACCCAGTTAGAATGTACACGAGACTCCATATAATGTATGATGCTACAGCATTGCTATTCTGAATTCTCTTGGAACTATATTGTTTGGTAATTGGTTTATATGCCTATGTGGCACTATTAACTTCTCATTCTTTCCTCATATATATATTTAATCGGATAGTTTCTTGGGGTTGTACTTACCTCTTCTTGGAATGCATTGAAGGATTTGAAGTCTGAACATGCTTGAATAAGAAAAAGGATCTAGAGTGATGCTAATGAATAGGTGTACACTAGTTTCATCTATTTTTTTTATTTGAAATATGATTTTTTGTGTTCCAAGGTTTCAATAGATCAGAAGCACTATCTGTTGTGGAAGTTGCATAGTTATCCCACTCCCATGATTGATATTAATTCATTGCTTGCCTTGTTATAACTTCCTAGCCTCTTATTCACGCTCCCTGATGCATGATGAATCCTAGATTTTTTATTTTCATTCTTCATTTTTCTACTGCAGGCAGGCTAAAGATGCGATGAAAATCCTCAAGAAGCGGCTAGGCAGTAAAAATCCAAAAATACAGCTACTAGCTCTTTTTGTGAGTTGCATGTTTCTCCCCAAGTTCATATTACATACATATATATAGCACTTTTAAGTATGTTATTTGAAATCCACTTTTATGGTGAAATAACATCTATATGTTGGTTCTTAATAATTTTCTTCAATCACATGATCTCAAGTAACTATCAACTTAGTATTATCCTTCCCCCCTCCTTGGTTCAGGTATTGGATTCTCTCAGCAAAAATTGTGGCGAGCATGTTTTTCAGCAGATTGTTGAACGTGATATCTTGCGTGAAATGGTTAAAATTGTAAAGAAAAAGGTGACTTATTTTCCTCTAAATTTTGATGATTTTTCTTGCTAGTTTCCCCCTTTCTCACACACATTATTTGTATTCTTCCTTCTGGTTTACTGTGCAGCCTGACTTGAATGTTAGGGAAAAGATACTTATTTTGATAGACGCATGGCAAGAAGCCTTTGGAGGATCTAGTGGGAAGTATACTCTATATTTTGCTGCATATAGTGAACTACGGGTAAATGTTCTATTATTACTTTGGAGGATCTAGTGGAAAGTATCCTCATTACCTGTGTCCATATAATCCTAGCCTCATCCATTGATTACAATTTCATCTGTTTTTCCTTTTCTTCTGAGGTTGCTTGGAGCAATTTTGGTGATGTAAATTTGTATATTGATTTCTTTTTCTTTCAGTACTAAAATCATTTGTTGCATTTGCTGATTTGAAAAATACGAAATGTCCTTTCCTAATGTTTTCTCCATCATATCTATCCACATCTGTTTCTTGAAGTTCTCTCTTTTGGTATTTATCAGGCTGCCGGAGTTGAATTTCCTCCCCGAGGAGAGAATACTGTACCATTATTTACTCCACCTCAGACTCATCCGATAACTCATCATCCTGCTTCAGCATATGAGGATGCTGCTATTGAGGCCTCTCTTCAACCTGATGCTTCGGGCCTCAGGTACTACCTTTGCTAAAGTTGTTATTTTCTAGTTGTGGGTCATAGAGTTTTCTTTGACGACAATATTTTTGATGGGACAAAGATTGTGGAACTATTGCCCCAATGAATTATTTTAAAACATTTACTTGGATCAAAAGTCAATTAGATTCTGAAAAGAAGATTTGTGTTAGGTGTCTGCAAAATCATAATTGTTTGCTTTGATTACATTTCTGTTCTCCGTCATGTTTTTTCTTTGTTCATATATAAATTGCAAATCATCTAATAGCGAGTAAATTGCAAGTCATCGTTTGTGTACCATGTGCTAAATTTTGATCTTCATAATTTGCATTGTTATCTCACAATCTCTATTGTGTGTGATTTTATTTTCTTTAATAACTGAAACTGATGCAGTGCATTTTCAGAAAACATTTCTTTAAACAACATTTTCTTCTTTAGTAGTTAAGCTCATTAGTATATTGTTCCAGATAATTGGAGTTAGAAAATTTAATGGTTTTTAATTCTCTGCAGTGATTAAAAAAACCCTGCAAAGATACTGTGCTCTGCATCTTTCTTCTCTCTTTACTGTTGACATGTAAATTTTCTTGCATAAACCTGCATTATTTCTGTTTTCAAGAAATTGTAGTTGAACCTTGTGCTTTTCCAGCTTGCCAGAGATCCAAAATGCTAGTGGACTAGCAGATGTACTAATGGAAATGCTTAGTGCATTGGATCCAAAGACTCCTGAGGTAAAAACATTTCCCTGCAAAATGCAAATGCAGCATTATGCTTGTCACATGGTCTATGCTGCTCTAGGTTTCTTATTATCTGATTGCCGATAAACATAGTGCTTTCATATCCTTCTTCATTTTGTATTTAGTGCAGGAGGAGTATTTCTCTAAAAATTAATTTGTCTTATATGGAGGTAGGAAGGGAAGGGTGATATGCGGGTTCGCAGGGAATATTTTTGGTGTTTGGTTTTGAAGTCGGTATATGCAGAAATTTAGTATCCTTACTTGGAACATTAGAGGTTTAGGGAGGAGGGAAAAATCTTTAGTAGTGGCAAGGCAAGTTAAGAAGTTAAAACCTGTTATGATTTTTATTCAAGAATCTAAACTTGATCAGTGTCATGCGTCGATCATAAGGAGGAATGGAGGAAATTTGTTGAAGGGAATGGTGTTTTCTCCTGCACAGGGGTCTAAGGGTGGATTGATTAGTATGTGGAATGAAAACGTTTTCAATGTCACTAACCAGCAGTAGGTTTATCGCATTAGTGGGGAATTTTTTGAATGGCCAAAAGGAGTTTGTCTTCATTAATATCTATGGACCTGTTATTGAAGCTGAAAAGGAGGAATTCTTCGGGGAGCTGCTGAGTTATGTTAATTTGACGAATTTGCCAGTTTGTATTGGGGGTGATTTCAAATGTGTATCTTGTTCTGGAAGAAAAGCAAGGGAGATCACAAAATTGGCATGCTATTGAAACTCTTAGATCATTTACACAACAAGCTAACCTTATGGATCTGCCTATATCAGGAGGAACTTTCACCTGGTGCAGTAACAGAGAGTTGTCAACATGGGTTAGACTAGATCGATTTCTAATTTGTGGCAGATTTTTGAACAGCTTTCCTAGGATTTCACAATGCCTTTTACCAAAATCAATTTCAGATCATAATCTGGGCTTCTTTAGTTGTTCTTATGTGATAATAGTTTGTAACTGAACATATTAATGCATGCCAGGTGATTAAAGTAATGATATTTTTAGCCTGAAGCAAGTTAAATAGTTACCCCTTTACTGTTTTTGATGTTATACAGGCTGTGAAGCAAGAAGTCATTGTTGACCTAGTTGATCAATGCCGTTCTTACCAGAAGCGTGTGATGCTTCTTGTTAATAATACCACGTGAGAATCTGTTTGTATCTTCGGTTGATTTCCCCTCTGTTAGAATAATGCTGATGATTGCTTTTGCATTTTCAGAGAGGAGGAACTTCTATGTCAGGGATTAGCACTAAATGACAGCTTGCAGCGTGTTCTTTCCCGGCATGATGACATTCTGAAAGGAAATACTGTTCCCACAGGAGCGGTAGCAGAAAGTCCTGTTGTGCCTCTTGTTAATATAAACCATGAGGATGACGAGTCAGAAGATGAATTTGCTCAGCTATCTCATAGGTGACTATATCTTCTTATTGTTCCTCACACCATTCTCTGTTTGCTTTTTAACATTTTTCTGCTAATTTACCGTAAATTTTTGTAGTGAACCAGATTAGCCTTGCACTTTTAAAACATGAAAGACTAAAGAAATTTTCTACCAGTTGAAATTCATCTTTTAGCACATGGAAATGAACTATGGACACTTAAACCATATTGTGTTCATATGGTGCATTCCCTGACCCCATTGGTTTTTTAGCCTTGCAATTTTAAACCATGAAAAACTCAAAGAATTTCTCTCAGTTGAATTTCATCTGCTTGGCACATGGAAATGAACTATGGACACTTCACCATATTGGGTTCATGCGTTCTCTGATATTCATTGGATTTTTTGTTTTCATTGGAGGAATGCATTATTTATAAATGAATTATCGGCACTTAACCATATTGTATGGATGTAAGTGGCAGTTTTCTCTTGTCTATTTATTCTCTAAATTATATCTTGTTAAACATGCATAATGACTGCTTTGAAAATAGGTTTTTAAGATTCAAGTAACAGGACCTTGATTATTGGCAAGGCTCCCTATTTCCTGCCTTGTGCTTTTTTCATTTGCTTTTGATTTAAATTTAATGAGTCCCTGTCCTGTACTCACTTATTACAGATCATCAAGGGATAATTCTCAAGGACAGGGCAGGAGAGTACCTAAAAGTGAGCCTGGGCGAGTTGATTCATTTCTTCCTCCACCCGCATCTAAAAGTCTGGTTGCTACAAATGCTGGTGTGGTTGATTATCTTAGTGGCGATACCTACAAAACTGAGAATTCCCCCGGAACAAGAGAACCTGCACCTCATTCAGTTCGCACTCGTAACCGCACGAACCCTCTAGCTCCATCACCACCTCCATATCATTCTGGAGATTCCGGTCCCTCACCACTGTTCAGCGGTCAGCCTGTATATGACAAACCAGCTTCCTTGAGCAAATCTGCTGATGCTGAGTTGTTGCCTCCAGCACCATGGGACACTCCTGCAGGAAACATTTCGCCCCCACCTTCAAAGTTTAATCAGAGACAGCAATTCCTTGAGCACCAACACGGTTATCCTGGTGGTTCTTCTAATTCCAATAATGGATCCGGTGCTTCTTATGACACCTTGGTTGGACAAACTCAAAATCTCTCCCTTAATTCGGAGGCCCCAGCCAAAGAAGTAAAACCAGAAGACGTTCTGTTCAAAGACCTGGTTGATTTTGCCAAAGCCAAGTCGTCTTCATCATCGAAGCCCAACAATAACAGGTCATTTTGATATCTCCAGTTGGATAGTACAGCTCGTCAACAGTTATTAGATCATCGGTTTTTGTACTAGATTAATGAGGCTTCATGTTATTAAATAAACATGCATTTTTATACATAGCTTATTGGTTTTGTATGCTGTTTATTGGTTTAGTTAGAGACGAACTCGATATATTTTGCATGTAATTAATACTGGGTGTACCGTTTCGTCAGTTTGATTTTGCATATATTTTGATGCAACCACTTGATTTTCATACTTTTGAACTTGGTTTGTGATTTTGTTACTGCATTTGCTTGAGAATGGGTTTTTGTTTTTTTTGTTTGAATATAAAATGGTTTTAATTTGGGTACGGAGCCCAGCTGCTCAATACACAAAAACCCCAATAGTTTTGAGTTTCATGTTCATTAATTCTAATATTTTATTTTAATAGGATTATTCTTCCTTTTTAAAATTACTACATAAATTTCTAAAATCAAATCAATCTAATATAAAATTTTCATTTAATTATTATTTTTATAAAATCAGTTTATAGAATAATAATTTTTATTAATTTTGGATAAATATAAAATATATATTTAAAGATAACTCTCAACAATGATATTGAAAGCTCACGCTCTTGACATTCATAATGTTCGAGCCCAGAACTTTAAAAAAAATAATAATTCTTTTACTATCATGATGGCTTAATTCGTGCGTTTATAGAACAATATTCAATACACTCATTATAAGTGGTTTATTATATACTATAAAGTGAGCGGGATGTGATTTGATAACATTAACGTAAGAAATCTTTCAATATTTTTTTATCGAGAAGAAAAAAAATTATATTTTTTGGCTACTATGAATGAATTTAAGGTAATAATTGGGAGTGGAGTGAGATGCATGTGAATCATCAATGAGTCAATCAGGGTAAGTAATAATTACACAATATTCAAGGTAATCTCTACTAAAAAAAATCTGTATAACGTTTCTACATGTCGCTTTCCTTAGTAAACTAAGAATCCAGCCTACCATAAAATACTATTCACCTGCCGTTGGAACTCCGCTTTCATTAACAAAAGTGCGCTTAAATATCTCCAGAACCCTGATCCCTACAACAACCCTCCGCCAAAAAGGTACAGTCTTGCTTGAACGTGTTGCTTTTCCCTCCGTTTTCCTTTGTTGTTCACGTTTTCAAGTTTTCTATCTTTTGGTTGTTGCGGCTAAGTTCTTCATTATCAGTTAAGGGATTATCTTGTTTATGTGTTTTTGTATATAATTGAAGTGCTTCTAATGGTGCTTTTAAGTTACTTTCTCTGTTTCTATCAGGGTTTCCCTGAGTTTAATTTTAGTGGCTAAAGATTAAAAATCACATTTGATTTGGGAACTGGGTTTCTTTCGTTAATCAAGAAAAGTTTTTATTTTGAATAGAAAGTTTAAATCTTTATTTGAAAGATTGCATTAGGTAAATGCTGTATTGGTCTGATATATAGTTCCCTATGACGTTTATTGACAAAACGAGCAACGTTTAATGGTCACTTCTGCAGGAGATTTTGGCTTTAATATTTTTAGCTATTGGTTTTCCTTGTGGAAAAATTTTATGCATAGATACAAGTATTTCAGTAACCTTCCTTTGTTTCGTCAGTTTGTTTAGATTTAGCTGTCTAGATCATTTCCTTCCCTCTTGCTCGTAGCATTTTTTTTTTTTTTTTTACCTAGCTGGTTGTTTTTCTAGTATATCAGAACAACAAATTTTATATGTTTTTTTAGTTGAAATACGATTGCACGATGTTTGTGATACTAATGGCTAGTTATTTCTCTTCCAGCTGTATATAACAAGAAAATCGATTATAAAGAAACATGGCTACTGGGAAGTATTCCAGAGTTGATGGGAGGAAGTCATCGCGTTACTGTTTTATAGCGACTATAGTCGTCTTTGTTGTTTTCTGTTTAGTTGGTATTTGGATGTTCATGTCTTCATCAATTATTTCAGTTAAGGATTCAGAAAATTTATCTTTGGAGACCGGAAACGAGGTGAAACAAACAGTACCAAAAGGTGATTCTAAGCAATTTGATGATACCTCAGGTGATCTATCCGGGGCTGAAGCAAGAGAAGATGGCGGTAGTCTGCCTGGTAAAGTTTTCGGGATCACCGATGAGGATAATTCCACGGAGAACTTAGTGGTTGAGAGTATTAATGAGAAAAATGAGTCTCACAACTCAACTGAGGAAAACCAGGAAGAGAATCATGCAAATGAGAGTTCTGATGAGAAAACTGAGTCGGAAAGTGCACAAAAAAGGATGGATGAAGATGATGGGAATGGAACTGCTGATGAAATGAAACATGTTGGCAAAGAGGCTATTTTGACGGAGAGGAAGAATGACAAAAACCAAGACGAGCATTTGGAACAGAGTGAAGTTGGTAACAGTGTGGAAAGCAAGGAAGACAATCAAGCTTCAAATGAGATTCTTCTTGCAGGTACTCAATCAGAAATTTTGACAGAGTCTACTACTCGAAATGGAACTTGGTCAACTCAAGCTGTAAAATCCCAGAATGAGAAGAAATCACAACTTTCTTTTATATCCAATGAAAATAATGATCACCACTGGAAACTTTGCAAGACAACTGCTGGGCCAGACTACATACCTTGCCTAGACAATTGGAAAGTTATCAGAAAGCTTCCGAGCACATCGCACTATGAACATCGCGAGAGGCACTGTCCTGATGAAGCTCCTACATGTCTTGTCCCTCTGCCTGAAGGATATAAGCGCTCTATTAAGTGGCCTAAAAGTAGAGATAAAGTAAGCACCCCATCTGCTGCATGAACAAGTATTTTCTTTTTGTGTATTTACTTTGGTTCAAATTTATTTTGGTGCTTGTTGCAGATCTGGTACTACAATGTCCCCCATACCAAGCTTGCAGAGGTTAAGGGCATCAAAATTGGGTTAAAGTAACTGGCGAATACCTTACGTTCCCTGGTGGTGGAACTCAGTTTGTGAATGGTGCTCTTCACTATATTGATTTTATTCAAAATGTAAGTCCTTTTTGTTATATATATATATATACCTCTCTGGTTATGGTTTCCTTATTTTGCATTTTTGTCTGATGATATGTGATTACTAGCTACTTTTATTATATTTTCGAAGGAAAAAGCAGCTGATTATTGGGAAGAATAATTTTAAGATTTTCCTTTCCATCTTTAGCGTCAGTATAGTTATTGTGCGTAGAATAGTCACATAAATGACTATATCCAGGCTAATCATATAAGTTATCCGAACGAGGTACATCTTAAGCTTCAACTTATATGCACATGCATATACATAAGTCTAATAAGTTGTCTCTCACACTCTGTACATGTCTACTTGTATACAATCATATATAGATGTGCTTGAGAACAAACTTAACTCTTTCTAATAGGCAAACTGCAAAAGTCTATTTTTAGCTACTGGGAGTTTCTTTCTCTTTGATACATCGTCTCATCCCATGAAGCAGAAATATATCTGGTCTAATGTCACGTTATTTCCAATTGTGTAACCTGAGCCACCTCAAAGAACTTGAAGCCATTTCAAAACTTGGCATCATTGTTTTTCTTAAAAAACTTCTATTCGAAACATCATCCATCGCTTGTATTTGTTAATGTTTTTTTCTACTCAGTTTTATTAATCTATTCCTCATCTTTTTTATTTTGCTCTTTGCTTCTAATTGTGTAATATTTTAGTCAGATAAGCTAACAGCATTATGATCAGTTCGTATGGCTTTTATTTATTTTCTGAAATTGTTTTATCTGCCTATGTAAATTTGAATGCATATTCGATTCAATTGCAGGCTGTTCCTGAAATTGCATGGGGGAAAAGAACCCGTGTGATACTTGATGTTGGGTGTGGGGTGGCTAGCTTCGGAGGCTATCTTTTCGAAAGGGATGTTCTTGCAATGTCATTTGCACCTAAGGATGAGCATGAAGGCCAAGTGCAGTTTGCTCTTGAACGGGGAATTCCTGCCATATTAAATGTGATGGGAACTAAAAGGTTACCTTTTCCTAGTTCAGTCTTTGATCTTGTGCACTGTGCACGTTGCAGGGTACCCTGGCACGTTGAAGGTGGGATTTCATTTTTCTTATATCTATCACCATTTAGTTGTACACTGTTGTGTTATTTTCTAATACAGAGACATTTTGAGGCATATTTCAGGTGGCAAACTTCTGCTAGAACTCAATCGTGTCCTGCGATCTGGTGGTTACTTTGTTTGGTCTGCTACGCCAGTTTATAGGAAGGGCCCTGAAGATGTTGGCATTTGGCAAGGTAAAATGCTTTATAAACTAGTCACTTGTCTCCAAGGAGAGCAATATTTTGATTTTGCTTTACGTATCCTCCTTTCAATTTTTGTGACTTATGGTTACTGATGGCAGAAATGTCTCGCCTAACAAAGTCGATGTGCTGGAATCTGGTGGTCGTTAAAACGGACAAATTGAACAATATTGGCGCTGCAATATATCGAAAGCCAACTTCCAATGATTGCTACAAGAAAAGATCTAAAAATGCACCTCCACTTTGTGAAGAATTTGATGACCCCAATGCAGCCTGGTAATATATTTGCCCTTGGTTGAAAGTTATTTGTACAATTCCCTTATAAGTGCATATTATACCTAATAATGTATGAACTAATTATAATCAATCGGAAAATGGTTTTAAAGTATGTATACACCTTTTATTAACTGTGTCCTTATTTTTTATACGCGTGAGTTTGAGCGTTTACATTTGCTCTAGAAGTATTGACTAGATTAAAGGACATCTCTCTTCAAGAAATGTACTTCCTACTTTTTTGAAAAATAATGTTTTTCAATAATTTAATTGGGCAATATTTTCTGGTTTATGCATCAGGGATGTACCCCTTCAGGCCTGCATGCACAAAGTGCCAGTAGATTCAGCGAGGCGTGGATCCCTGTGGCCTGCACAATGGCCTGTACGGTTAGAGCAATCGCCATATTGGTTGAATTCTCAGGTTGGCGTTTACTGTAAAACTGCTCAGGAAGACTTTAAGGCAGACTACAATCACTGGAAAGTAGTCGTCTCCCAGTCATATTTGAAGGGGATGGGGATCAACTGGTCTTCTGTAAGAAATGTCATGGATATGAAAGCCGTTTATGGAGGGTATTTTGTTTGACCTGTCTCTGGTTATGGCAGAAGTATAAAGTGCCTTAATTGTGAACTTATGTTTCCGTCCTCTTGGACCTTATTCTTCCCATGCATTTGTGCTTCTGTGTACAGGTTTGCTGCGGCCCTGAAAGACTTGAAAGTTTGGGTTATGAATGTAGTTCCAATCGACTTTCCTGATACCCTTCCAATAATATACGAACGGGGTTTTTTGGAATATATCATGATTGGTGCGAGTCATTTAATACATACCCCAGAACGTATGATGTTCTTCATGCTGATCATCTATTCTCTAGCATCAAAAAGAGGTTTGCTCTCTTCCCTTCTATAATTCTTGCAGATTTCGTTCTCAGCCAATATTGGTTCCTTGATATGATGATGTCCTACCGGGCACAGGTGCAAGTTGGTTACAGTAATTGCAGAAGTTGACCGAATTCTGAGGCCAGAAGGAAAGCTGATCGTACGAGACAATAGTGAAACCATAAGCGAGGTGGAGAGCATGGTTAAATCACTACAATGGGAGATCCGAATGATTTATTCCAAGGACAACGAGGGATTGCTTTGTGTTCGCAAGACATTTTGGCGTCCCACGGAAGAAGAACCTATAAAGAACGCCATTGCTTGATCATGATGCTTAGTTTTACATCACAGCAACACAATGCCACTCTCATATGTATCCCAGCTGCTAATGCAAAATTATATAATTGATTACATTCTGACTTCAATCAATTACTATTTTTGTGCCAAAATTTCCAGGATGGACTAAAATGCATACCTTCGTTTATAAGAAAATCAAAATGTTTAACTCTTAATTTAATACTTTTTTTATTGTGAAAACCAAGAGATTATAAAGGGAACTATGACTTTCTGTGAAACCACTATAGTATGTTTCATCACACAATAAGAAGAGAAGAGAGAATATATATGTATATATATATATATACACACACGAAGACCAGGTAAAAGGAAATCACTGCGAATATAGGATCCTTTTTTCCTGGGCAAATGAGAATAAATATATATGAAGACCAGTTATAAGCATCAAGCATGTGTTTAGTCTGCAAAGGGACAGACGGATACATGAGCGGCATTCCGCAAGTGATGGAAGAGGGTTCCATTTCTTAAGAATTCATAGACCAGCAAAGGAACTCGCGTCTTCAAACAACATCCCAAGAGTTTCACCTCATTTCTATAGTTGATTCGGGAGAACACGATAACTTCATTAATGACTTGTTGAACTTGGCTTTGATCTCCAATGATGGATTATTTTTTATGGCAACATTGTGATCACACCTCTTCCAAGGACTTCACTTTCGTGGTAGTTGTTGGTCGCTTTCTTGAGTTCTTACACCGTAAAGAGTTTAGTTGTTTAACCATACTCTTCGCGTTTTGCCTCACTCAGAAAGTGTACGGCAGTGAACTTTGGAAAATGGCAACATTCTATTTATTTTTCACTTGCTGCAAAAGAATAGTCTGATGTTTTACTTTTAAAGTCTACTTACCAGCTGATTCTCTAATAGCATATTTGATAATTACAGAACTGAAAAGAAACGATTGGGGCATTCCGAGAATTGAACGTGGGACCTCTCGCACCCTAAGCAAGAATCATCGACTAGACCAAATGCCCAACTTTGATATTGCAATGTTTTGAAAATTCTGTATTTTTCATTTTTTTGGTCTTATACCTATAGATCGGTAATACCACATGAGGTGGCCAATAGTTTCTCACTGCCGTACACTTTACGGTGAAGAGTATGGTTAAACAACTAAACTCTTTACGGTGGAAGAGTTTCTTCCAAGTTCAATTCTCGGAATGCCTCAATAGTTTCTTCCACCGTAAGAAGCTCCTACTGATACTACAATCACTGTACTGCCACTTCCAAACGGGTATGGGACCTGGCACCCTGCTTTTGCTTCAGCTGCCACTCAAGTTAACTTTGAATTTGATTATTCTTTTTTCTAGTCCGCAATGGTTACAACTTAAAAGGAAGTATATATTTATAACTTTTTTAATCTATTAATAATGCGCAAATCCTGTAAATGATATAGCTTGAATCTATAATTTTTAGGGAAATCAATATTTCCTTTTACTATTACGATATGGAGTTTTTACATTGACTATTCTTGAAAGAAAGAACAAAAGTTTAAATGCTCGTAATAAATTTAATTTGGCATATAGAAGGAGATACATAATCCTATTATTTACTTTTAAACTACGAATATTTCAGTTTTCTTAGTTGGATACAAATTAAATTTAGCTTGAGAGATCAACTGAGCAATTGTAGATTTTGCTCGGAAAAACACAGCATTTAGTGATCCGATTAGTTTTTTCTTGCACAAATGTATGGTAATTTGTTTAAGGGCAAATTAGATTAGATGATACTAAATTTTGGGATGTATTGATTATACCACTGAACTAAAAATTGATTCTATTATAATATAGAACTTTTAATTGATTCAATGTAAACATTAGATCATATAAATTCAAACAACATGATGACTTGGATAATATTTTTTGTTTCGGTATAAAACGATATAGTGGAGACTAAAAGGTGCAAAACAACATAATTTTGACAGTGGTGTAAATATTTAGAGGGAAAAAAACTATTCTCATTTTTGTCTCGGTTTCCTTCTCCTATTTCCTGTAAACGGTGCAAGCGACTGCCTCACTTGTTGCCATTTGATCATCTTCCACGATCGAAGACATTAAACTAAAGCTCTTTGTCATAAGTAGCAGAGATATATAAACAGTCGAAGAAGGCGGGGAGAATTGGGAAAACTGAAAGTAGGTTAGGAATTTCAATTGAGAAAATTAGGGTAATTGGGAATACAAAATTACAAGGGCTTAGTCACTTACCTGATGGACCAAATGAGCGGCTTAGAAGTCTAACCCAATCAGGAAAGGAATCATGCCAACAACACCTCCAAGGGAAGAATTATGTTAGAAAGTTGTACTGCCAAGTGGTAAATTGGTTAGAATTGGTACAATGTTGACAAATAAAACACGTTCTGGTCATCTGAAAATTGAATGATATTGTTTTCTTCTTCAAGCTCTCTTTCTTCTCTAAATCTTCTTCTCTTAATCTCTATTTTTATTTCTTCGATTCTCGTCCTTCTCTGATTCCTTTGGGTCATAACAAATTGGTATCAACAACCATTATTCCTAGCATTCTAAAGCTTGGGTATGTCTGTAACACCCCTGACCTATACCCGACCCAGATACGAATCTGAGGTGTCATATTGACTTTTCAACTCTTTGACACTTTGAAAATTTGACTAAAATTTGACTTTTATTGGAAAAATAAAAACACATTTGCAAAACATATCAGAGCATCTACAATTTAAAACATTTTCAGTACATGCCAACAATATTTCAAATAATAAAAACATATACAATTCAAATTTTACTGATCTAACAGTCTTCACAGATATGTTGTCCTGCCCCCATGCTTATTCAATTTACTTCTCGAATCTCTTGAACCTACGTGTGAAACAATCACACGCTAAGTCTAATACTTAGTGAGGCATAAAGAGTATATTAAAGAAATAACATTTATGTTATTATCAAAATATACATTAAGTACAAAAACACTATACTCTTCATAACTTATAACATATATTATTAAACATTGATTACTTTATATCTATTTGATACTTGATTTTACATTTCATTAAAAATCTTTCATATAAAATCAAAAGACATTTCATTAACATTATAATAATGTTACTAATTTTTCAGATTATATCAAGTTTGTTTTATTAGCCCAACGTATATTGTTGAGAACTCAAGGTATGTGAGTACAATGAGGTTATGCACTAATGCAGTCATCATTGCTCACATAATTTGCACCGATGTACCACATATTTGTCCCGAAGGACCACATACGTTTGTCCCGAAGAACCACATAGATTTGTCCCGAAATACCACATAGATTTGTCCCGAAGGACCACATAGAACCCGCGACTATTGGCATGCCAACTATACCCCTAATTCTCATAAAATATACTTTGAGCTTATTCCATATAATTAAGTCACAGTTATTATTGAAGAGGTATTTTATTCATATAGATCAAATTTCGCGTATAATAATTCCACATAAACTAAGGTCTCTTAGCACATATTCACATAGAACATCTCACGTAGAACATTTACTCATAGCATTTACCATAACACTATTCAAATTATCATTTATTCATATAAAACATATACTCATATGTCATATACTTATAATATTTCATGTAGATTATTCAAATTATCATATAAAAATAGTTTGGGTAATTCATACCAAAAAATTATAACAAAATCATTTAATGAATAAATATAAAAAAAATATGTTTTATAACATAATACAAATCATTTATTCAAAAACATTCGAGGTTGGCTTATCGCAAGCTGCCCTCCAATCGTATATAAATAAGTAAGTTGCACTCACCTTTGCCTCACTTAAGCCCTAAGCACCTCCTTTTTTACTTTCACCTTATCCTTATACATCATTTAGTTCGACAATTGCTTTCGGTCGAATCTACACATTAACATGATCACTATAAATATCAAGTTCAATTAACATTAACCAATTAGCCTTTACTTAAACGAAATAAAACACCTATATTTAACATTTCAGAATGCATAGTATCGGTACTCTTCCTGCAATATCGATACTTCTCTTCTATGGTACCGATACCCACTTTGATATCGATACCATTTTGGTATTCTGGAAATTCACCTTTAATTACAGTATCGATACCTTGTCCTTGGTATCGATACCTCCACATCAATATCGATACTACTTCAATCACTATCGAGATTGTTCTTCTGATTCCTATTATTTCTTTAAATTTACCCTTATAGTATCGGTATTGTTACCCTTACCCAGAAATCATGTATTTCACTTCGAAAATTACCCAAATTCACCTAAATCTCCTAGTTTTATCTCCATTCATGCTTTTAAACTCATTTACACTTATTACCACTAACTTATATCCATTAAAACCTCTTTAACATCTCAATTTCTCCATAAAACTTTTAAAACTAAAAATCATACCACTTCTTCAAACATGTTCTTAATCATTTTTAATACTTCTAATCCCTTAATTAAACCCTTGACAAGTCAAATATATCTTTAACATCCAAATACAATCACTCTCAATCGATTATCTTAGAAACCCATTTTACTAAATCACCATTAAATCCTTAATCCCTTAGTTTCTACTCATCTTTAAGCTTCCTTAAGCTTTTATATCACCCAAAGAATAAAACCAAAAATAAAAAAAAAACCATCAACCTTAAAATCACTTACCTTTGAAATGGTGTTCACGGGCAAAAAATAAGAAGAAAAAATATCCAAAGTTTCCAGACCATTCTTTCCCTTTCTCTATCCTTACATGCTTAAATATCTCCTAAAAATGAATTTTAAATTCATTTATTGATAAAAGACCTATTTTCCCTTTCATTCTTCCATCTTTGATAATAATTCCTAGAAACAATTTCCAAAATCAGTCATTGAACTTTTCAATTTATTCAAATTAAACCACCAAAATTTAAATCCTTATATTTCAGTCACTGACCCAAAGTTTGGGGTATTACATTTCTCCCCCCGTAAGAAAATTCGTCCTCGAATTTTCATTGTACAAAGAGATAAAGAAACTATCTCCTAATGTCCTCTTATGCTTCCATGTCCCTATTTCCATTTTATGACTTCTTCAAAGAACTTTAGCAAAC